CAGTCATTAATAAGCCACAGGTGTCAACAGAGACAAGAATTGGAGAGGTGGTTTCCTGGGACTATGGGAAGGGAAGAAAGATTTTCATGAGTTTTAGTGTGTTCAGACAATCCATGGTAGTGATTGTTGTACATCAATGTGAGTGCTCTTAATAGCACAAAATTATGCACTCAAAAATGTTTGCAATGAGTATATATATATATCTTTACCTAATATATAAGCAAAAATTTTTAAATGAACTTCAGTTATTTTAAATTTGGATGAACAAATGTATTTTTTGTTTAATTAGGTAGAATCCTGAGATTTATCCAGCAATAGATATTTAATTATGGTATGAACTTTAAAAATTTGTAAAAATAAATTGAGAACAGTAAATTATTCTTTAAGTGCCATTTCAAACCAAAATGAAAAGAACAGATTAGATTGATAACCTCATGTATCAGGATGTTGCAATAACTAAGTTATTAGCAAGGAAAAACATTCTATGTAAAATCACATGATACTACAATAATTTGTCATTAATTCACATTAATTACTGAGAGTTCTCAGAGAAGGAACTGTCCCTCATGGCCTTTGCAATATTATTATTTTTTAAAATCCAATACTTGCTTTTGATTGAACTTGCACATTTCACAGCATTCTTGAACTGCTAAACCATGCCTGAGAATCTGAAGAAGGAAATGGTATAATGGACAGTTCCAACTACCCATCAGTTTATTAAAACCTGATCCATATGCAACTCATTGAGTTGCTTAGAAACTCTATTTCTCAAAGCTGGTTTTGAAATCACAATCCTCCTTCTCAGCATACTGACAAAATAAGATTTCAGCTGTGTACCACTACACCTGGTGATTGAAAAGCATTTTGAGAATTTTACAATTTTTCATATAATTATAACAAGTATTTAAATTTAAGTCTGTTGCAGGTCTTCCAAATGTCAAGGACACTATGTCATGAAATAAATCTCTTTGTATTCATCCCAGTTAATTCCACAAAAGCATCTCACTATGAAATTTTGTGGGAAAATTCATGTGTGAAATAAAATGTGTCTCAAGCCCCAAGGGATTACTTGTAATGGGTTTTGGCATCCAAATTATGTCATCAGTACAGCAAAGGATCTTTTAATTCTCATTTAATCAAAGGATCTTTTAATTCTCTTCCTACTGGCTCAGCTACTCACCTATCAGAAGGTGGCCATCCACGTGCCAGCTATATACCAACACTATTGCCCAGAAGTGGTAGGCACATCCTGACAGAAATACTATGGCCCTCCCAGAAGTCTGATTTCTGCACTGATGTACTCACCAGGACTGAACTCTACAGAGAATGTCCCCACCCCAGAAAAGTTGCATTCACTCATATGCTTCACACTGGGCAGTAGCAAGCAGGCAACTCTTGCCTTCGGCAAATGGATTTATCACATAAAAATTCTGACTGCATCAGGTGGTTACAAACCACTATGCAATATTTCTATTTAATCAGAAATATCAAAGTAGGCAATTTCCAAAACGTCTTATTAGGTGGAATGAAAGTTTTCAGTACTGCTGGGAGCTTTCAAAACTATTTTTTAAAGACTAAGTGCATATTTGGTAGCTTAAGCTGCATTTATTGAAAACAGAAGTGCTACAGCACTGTCTTTTGACCATTTGTTTCTAAATGAACAGTATGAGATGCACTCCTAAAGCCTGGTAACAGAGATAGCAGTGACAATCACCCCATCTTTAGCATGTTTGATACATTTAATATTTGGACACAAGTATGTAAGAAACTCTTATCTATGTCCACACAAGATCCAAGACACTAGAATACTAGAGTGTGGGTGAGGTTTAACCCAGTACAGTCCAGTGAAAACCTTACCCTGAGCAGAAATCGCTTTCTCCACAGCATGTACTGTACAATGGAGATCTGGTTGAAGGCTTTAGGTAGAACCTGAAGTAGAGCCACAGGCATCTTCTGACACTTGTCAAAGGCCATTTGGTTCTACTCTAGAGATTGTTCTCATGCATGTTCCAGCAATATGCTATCAAATTGTTCCAAGTCAAAGCAAAAATGGCCTTAATGTGGACCACCAAAAAAGCACTATTGCCGCAGTCTGGCTGGGCACAATGCAGGAGCCACTTGTCAAAAGAAACAAACTTTATTTTTAGAACACACACACCAAACCACACAGCTCCCCAGGAAAACCTTCAGAGCCCATCTGCCACCACCGGCTTCCCACAAGCCTCTCCACCTCCCCCACTCCTCCTGCTCTTGAGGCTGATGGGCTGGGTCACGTGGGCAGAGCCAAAAAAGTCCTCCAATGAGCAGCTCCGTGGTCTGAAAGGGCGGGGAAACAGCCCAATGAGCATCACCACAGAGGAGCCAATCAGTTCGCAGCTAGAAGTTTGCTGGGGCCTCTGTGAGCCAATCATCAACTGGTAGCTAGAAGTTTGCTGGCAGCTGGAAGTTTGTTGGGGCCCCTTTGGCTGTGGCTCTCAACACACTATCCAAATAAAAATTACTAAGAGATAAAAAAATCATTCAATCCTCAACCCTTTTTCCCACTTGATGGACTCATTTTTGGTTAAATATAATTTGTAGTATCTGCAGACTACAACTGAAACCTTAAATTATAAATCACAGCCATTCATAGATGACATGAATACAGTTCATGCCATGGTGGCATGTTTCAGGAAGTATAACACAACCAGGGAAACCTGCAGAGTCTTCCCTGAGGTGAGACACATGGCAGGTCAATGTGGATCACTGAAATCTCACTCTTACAGCAGATGAGAAGCCAGGTTCTCTGCTGGAAGCCACGCTCTTTTTTCTTTGCAGGGTACCCAGGATAGGGGAAGAGTGTGTAAAGGCTCCACACGTCAGGCAGAGTTGCCTACCCTGTGGCACACACCTGGGAAACCTCAGAGAAGTGTACCATGGTTCCACAGTAAGGTAAGATGCCCTCACCATGGCAAAGACCTGGGATCAGGTTTTCAGGAAACACACAGGATCTGGGCATAGTAGCTTGTGTCTGTAATCTCAATGCCTATAGCATAAGAATTGAAATTTTAAACTAAGCCTCAGAAACACAGTGAGGCCCTCTACCAAAATAAAAAATAAAAAGGGCTAGGGATTGGTTTCAGAGCTTAAGCACTTCAGACTTGATGATGTTGATGATGTAATTTTTCTCACCCCCTCCATTCTCTGACCCTAAGAATTATATCCAAAACCTCTCACAATTTTTTCTTTTGTCACAACATATATAAAAAGTCATGAAATATTTAAGGAGAAAATATCTGAACTAAACATGGGCCTGGAAAAAAGCTTTTTAAATTATGAGACCAGAGTTTTAAATATCTTTTATTTGCTGAGTCCTTTATTGGAAAAAGTAGACTAAATGAGAGAACACATACTTAAAGAAAATAGAAAAATGAAAACTCTAAATTTTTTCAATATATTTCTATGTATAAAACTATATTGCATACAAGATTTTACACACAAGTGCATGCACAGTATATATAAGATTATGTCATAATGTTTGAGAGTTGACTACAGATGCAAATAAAAAAACCCTTAAAAACAGGAAAATTAAATCTAATAATAAGAGATTTAACCTAGAAAGATATGAGGCTCTCTTGTCTTCATGCTGATGCCATCCTTATGCCTACTCCAGGATGCATTGCATTACCTATGAATATACAGAGGAGAACTGAAGGAACACATATTTTCCACACCTACAATCATTTTCTCAAAAATAAAAGTTGATTGCTGAAGGCACTGCACGACTATATCAGGGGGAGGCAGGAGAATACAAGTTCAAATCCAGCCTCAGCAACTTAGGACCTAAGCAATCCAATTAGACCATGTCTCAAAATTGAAAAAAATATATATAAATAAAAAGAACTGTGATTTGGCTCAGTGGTTAAGTATCTCTAGGTTGAATCTCTCATAACAAAACAAATAAATAAATAAATAAATAAAATAAAAAGTTCTACAAGTCTGAAAAACTCCAACTGGATCTACATCAACTGAAGGTCTCACTACATTTCTACATACAAGGCTTGTCTACACTGAGTTTTTCCATGATGCTCAAAGGGACATGAAAAGTTGAAAGTGTTACAACCTATTTTAAAGAGCAGAAGTTTTGTCCCTGATATGAATCATTTTGTATTACAGAAACTGGGAAAACTGAATAAAGCCCCACATTGCTTATCCACAGGATTTTTTACAGTATGAATGCATTCATAAAACTAAACAAATTAGAACACCTGAGCCTTTTTATTCCTTACATGCATAGGATGTATTCATTTTGGCCCGAGTCTTTCCAAAAGAATCTTCTCAGTCCATAGAGGAAACCGAAAATATAAGAACACTTCCCACATTTCTTATATTCACAGAGCTTCTCTACATGAGTAGTTTCATATGTGAGAAAAAAATAGTCAGAAATATATTTTGATCGGTTGTAGCAAATCTCCCAGATTCAGAGGGCTTGTTTTCCAGTGTGAGGGAAATGGCTTTGAAGGCAACAGAGAAAATGGATTGATTTGTCATATTTTTTATATTTAAAGAGTTATTCAGTCAGATGTGGTGATATCTGCCTTTAATCTCAGAGATGGGGAGGCTAAGGCTGAAGGATCACAAGTTTGAGGCCAGTTTCAGCACCTTCACAAGACTCTAAGGAACACAATAAATAACTATCTCAAAATTAAAAAAAAAAAAAAAAGAAATACCAATGTTGCTCAGTGTTAGAGTTCCACCAGGCTAAAGCTCCATTACTATATGTGTGTGTGTGTGTATGTATAAGTATATATATATATATAAGTATATATATATATATATATATTTGGCAGTGTGAGCCTTTTCTTGTCTTTGAAGGTGGCAAGAAATACTGATTTAACCACATTTCACATTCAAAGGATTTTTCTCCAGTAAATTTTCTACATATTTATGAGGGAAACAGTAGTAACAGTAGACTTTGCCAATTGTTTTCATGAGTAAAATCTCTCTACAGTATGTGTTCTTCAATGTGTGTAAAGATGAGGTGATGTAGCAAAGGCCTTTTCACATTTTTGATATTCATAGGGCATCTCTACAGTATGCAATTTTTCATGTTGGTGAAGGTTAGAGGATGTAGCAAAGGCTTTACCACATTGTTGACATTCATAGGGCTTCTCTCCAGTATGTGTTCTTAAATGATTTTGAAGGTAAGAGGACCGAGTGAAGGCTTTACCACATTGTTTACATTCATATGGCCTCTCTCCAGTATGAGTTCTTTTATGTGTTTGAAGGTGAGAGGACTGAGTGAAGGCTTTTCCACACTGCTCACATTCATAGGGCCTCTCTCCAGTATGTGTTCTTAAATGATTTTGAAGGTAAGAGGACCGAGCGAAGGCTTTACCACACTGCTTACATTCATGGAGCTTGTCTCTTGTATGAGTTTTTACATGTATGTGAAATTTACAGGATTTAGCAAAGGCTTTTCCACATTGTTTGCATTTATAGGACTTCTCTCCAGTATGTGTTCTTTTATGGTTTAGAAGACTATAGGACTTAGTGTAGGCTTTGCCACACTGATTACATGCATAGGGCTTCTCTTCAGTGTGAGTTCTTCCATGTCTGTAAAGATCACTGGATGTAGCAAAGGCTTTTCCACACTGCTTACATTCATAAGGCTTCTCTCCAGTATGCGTTCTTCTATGTTTCTGAAGGTCAGAGAACTGAGTGAAGGCTTTGCCACACTGCTTACATTCATGGAGATTCTCTCTTGTATGAGTTCTTACATGTACTTGAAATTGACAGGATCTAGCAAAGGCTTTTCCACATTGTTTGCATTCATAGGGCTTCTCTCCAGTATGAGTTCTTTTATGGTTTAGAAGATGAGAGGACTGAGTGAAGGCTTTGCCACACTGATTACATTCATAGGGCTTCTCTCCAGTGTGAATTCTTTCGTGTCTGTAAAGACCACCGGATCTATCAAAGGCTTTTCCACACTGCTTACATTCATAGGGCTTATCTCCCTTATGTGTTCTTTTATGGTTCAGAAGATAAGAGGACTGAGTGAAGGATTTCCCACACTGCTTACATGCATAGGGCCTCTTTCCAGTGTGAGTTTTTTCATGTTTATGAAGCTGATGGGATCTAGCAAAGGCTTTTCCACATTGTTTACCTTCATAAGGTTTCTCTCCAGAATGTGTTCTCTGGTGTATTCTGAATAAACAGGGATGAGCAAATTGTTTCCCACATACCTTGCATTTAAAACGTGTATTCCCACTGTGCCTTATCGTGTGAGTTGGAAGACTTGTGAGTGTAATGAAGATTTGATCACCTTGTTTATATTCATAGAATTTCTTTCCAGAATGAGTTTCTGCATGTCTCCTCAAAAAAGATGGGAAAGGAAAGGCTTTCCCACATACCTCACATTTAAAAGGTTTGCCTCCACTGTGTGTTCTCATGTGTCTTTGAACACCTGGGAGAGAAGAAAAGGCTTCACAACATTTTTGACCTTCATGGGGTTGCCATCCATAAGTTTTTTCATGTCTTTGAATGTCACTGGGACAACTGATGTCTTTCCCACATACTGTACTTTCATAAGGTTCATCTGCAGATTGTATTAACATTTGTCTCTGAACACTTTCAAAAGAAACCAGAGATTGCCTGTACTGTTTAAATTCACATGGCATTTCTTCACATTCCTCATGCTTGTAGAATTTGATTCCAGAGTGAGAACTCATCTGCCTATAAAGGAATGAAGGGCATATGAAGTCTTTTGCACACATGATGCAGTCATTTGGACTTACTCTATTACACTATTTCTATGTCCAGTTGAAAATTGGAATCTCATTGAAAGTTTCCCCAAACTATCTTCTTTGCCTTTGAATTTCAAGATATAACTTCTTTGAAGAACAATACTCACATTATCAGTACTTAATTCATGCATGATTTTCTATTTATTTATAGGTTTTAGGCTGAAATTACTACTAACATCAGGTAAAGGCTAGAATAAGCTATCGTTACTACTAACATCAGGGAAAGGCTAGGTTTTCTGACTTGTACAAAGTGCCTAAATCTAAAGAAATTGAAAGAAAGTAATCTTTTTCAACATAGCTTCCTTATGGCTAATATTCAAATAGTGTTATTCACATACACAATTCCATACCACTTTTTGCATGTCAACAACTTTGAAAAGACTGAATGTCTTTTACAGTTATGTAAATATTTTTGGTAAAAAATGTAAGAAAATAAGTACATTTCAACTTGTGCATATTTCTTTGGTTGGTTTGTTTTAAAATTTATATGATATTCTCAGATTCCCTCCAGGATTTCTCTTGTGACTATAATTACCTTAGATTGTTTCCAGAATTTTCGACCTGATCTTCAATTTTCTTGTCATTCCATTTGTTTCCTAAAATGACAAACCAGCAAAAACTTTTATAAATTTTGAGGAACTAGTAATGCCTTTACGTGCTCTTTATGCTAAATAATTCACCAACTGATTGCCTTTTCAAATTCTACATAAATGATCAAAATCTTCATAAGTTCTCTAGTTGATTAATTAAATAATCATCAATATTACCTATAAATGCCAGGTTTCTGAAGACTTCCAGCATCACGTCTATGTAAAGGTTCTTCTGAGATAGATCCAGCAAATGCCACTCTTCCAGAGTGAAGTTCACAGCCACATCCTCAAAGGTCACTGAGATCTTAAAAATGCCACAAATGTGTAGTGTAGTCCAGGATACACTGACAGCTTCATAAATCTATACTTAACATGCATGCTATTCAGATGATTCTCTCACCTTCTGATTAATTCTACAATTTGGTTCATCAAATCTTTGTGGCACTCAATTCTTCTCAGACATTCCAACACTTGAACTGGGCCACTTGGAAGGCAAAAAGCAAAGTGTTTTATACCGTTCCTTTGGTAAGTTCACAGTAAGTAAGGTGGGCTCCTGGTTCACTCCTCACTTCTGGGTTGGTTGCACCTCTATTAAACAGGTGTCTTATAAATACCTCAATGGAACAAAGATGTCACCTTGTCCCAACAACAACGTTAAAAAGTTTTATGAGACTCAAACAGGTCTTCTTAATAAACAACAGGAACTACTATTCTAAATCTCATTGCAACAATGAATGTCCAACAGTTGAAAAACTCTTATGAATAGAAGTCAGTTCACTACCATAGGAACATTCATGTATCTCATGGCCACGTTCTGAACAAAACTCTTTGAGCAAGGATGCACCACATGTACAATGGATGTCTGTTGTGAAAGAGTTTTCTAGTGCCTGTAATGATGCTGGTGCAAATAAACCTAAGGTAAAAGCATTTCCAGATTGTGGTAAAGCAGCAGGGTTGCAACCCAGAATCATCACCTATCTAACACAGTTTGGGTGTGAAACAGGTCACTCCATGTACATCTGTGAAAATGCTGTGAATTCTGTCTCCACAATGACAGAAAAGCCAAAAAGATTATCTAGCAGAATGTGCCCCTGCCACTGATACACAACCATACTCAAGGACTTAAAACAGGTGACCTCCTAAGCAGCATAGTATCAGCAGAGGTGAGCAAGAGACTCAGAGGAAGCTTTCAATGTGCTGTTCTTCTCAGCATGAAAAGATTACAGACACCAGGTGTCTTGGACACAGATCACAAAGATGGTCCAGGCAAACTGGAATCTAGTTGGCAAAGGGCATGACATACCACTATTCTGTAGAAAAAAAAAGTCCATTTATTATACATTCAAATGTGAAAGACTAAAACACTTTTAAGATGATTACAAAAGGTTTAAACTATTTATTTATTTATTTATTTCGGTGGGGCAAAATAAAAGAAAAAAAAAAAGAGCAGAGATTGAACCCATGGCACTTAACCACTGAGATACATGCTCAGCACACTTTTCATTTTAAGGCAGTACTCACTAACTTGTTCAGGCCCTAGTAGGTGGCTGCGGTTAGCATGTAAAATAATGATTCTCCTCCTTGAGTCTCCCTTGCTGCTGGGATTACCGGCAGGCACCCCTGCACCAGTGAAAATTTAGTTTTTAAAAAACAATAAGATAAATAATTTTATAAAAATGATATGCAGTAAATACAAAGATAAGCATGCATACCAAAATGATACAACAGGGGGCTGGAACTATCACAGTACTGCAATGAAATAGAACAGAACAGAAAGTCGGGAAACATTTTGATTCTGTCATAAGCTAGAAGGTAATAGAACCCCAAAATAACCTAACAAACATATAGCCAATTGATCTTCAAATAAAGAAAGTTATTTACACCCAAGATTGAAATGGTTCCAGGGAGAGAGAGCTGCTCCACACATACCTCCAGAGAAAAGTGGAAACACAAGCAGAACCATCAGAACAAAAACATCACCATGGCCAAAAGCCATGAAAGGATCCCAACAGCTCCATGAAGCAGTCACAAGGAAGAATGGAGAGCAGCAAGCAAAGTGTGACCTTCTCTAGCCCTTCAGACTGACCCTCTCTGGTACAGGACAGAGGCCCGACATCCCAATGTGAGAGCATGGTCACTGTCTCCAGAGTGCACACAGCAGATCTGATGTAAGTTTGGTCAACTGAAACTAAAATCATTATGGAACTATATTAATGTCTAAAACAAACTCTCCCTCTCCTGTTTCAGAAGTGGTTATTTTGAAAAATGAGCAGAAATTCCTTAAAAGAAATTAAGTAAACAAACAGCCTGCATTAGAGAAGTATAGCAAATCATTGTTTACTCTCTCAACCATCAACTAAAATCTGATTAAAATGAAGCTTCAGAGAGAGACCAGACTCCAGAATTCCTGGGTTAAATTCTATATTTATGTATTTGTTTGTTTACATTTTATACCAATGATTTAAAGGAGTACTTAACAAATGAGCAATTTTAAAATATTATTTTGAATTTGAGAAAAAAAAATTCTAAGTAGCTCAGCACGTAAGTTGTTGAGGATGGCTTTGAACTTGGGATCCTCTTGTCTAACACTCCTCAGTGGCTGGGATTACATGTATGTATCACTGTGTCAGCCATGGGCTAAACTTTACAAATAACTGTCTGGAATTATTAATGTGCACGGACCTGAAACAAAGTAGAAATACATCAGGCAGAAACATACAAAACTGTCCAGAACAAGGAAGATTCTGCAGTTACACTTTGAGACATCACCACAAGTCTATAGGGTCTGACACCACACAGCAAAGCAGCAGACAGCAGGGCTTCACTGGCCATTCAACAACAGCAAAACACACAGTCTTCTCAGGATCACAGCAACACTCCCCAGAATAGGCCACATTCTGAGCCATAAGCCTCACCTCAGCAAGTGTGCAACACCAGTGAAATCCTAAGTATGCTCAAAGAACATGGGAGCAAAGCAGAAATGAAATTAGAAGCAGCTGGAAAGCCTCCAGGAAATGGGAGATGCAACACAGGACTCTAAACAGACTCAGGAGAAAGAGGTGATGCAAGGGAAAACTTGACCTTGTTTAGAAAAATAATGAAATGTAAAAGTCCAACATGGGAAACAGCACAGATGTTGTGTCAGTGGTATCTACAGCATCCAAAACATTATCTAAGGGATCAAAAACACATTTCAGAAAACGAGAGAAAAAAAAAGCAATCATTAAACCTTCCACTTAAGAAAACAAGAGAATGAAAAGCAACGTAAGTATAAATTAAGCACAGGCAAATAACATGAAGGGTATTGATGAAACCACAATCAGGAAGTCAGCAGTCTGCAAAACCAAGTTCTTCATAAGATCAGCATCACTGATAAACTGATAGGAGGATAAGGAAACAGAGCACAGGGGTGAGGTTATGGCTCAGTAAAGAGCTTGCCTAGCACCAGTGAAGCACTGGGTTCAATCCTTACCACCACATCAAAGGAAGTAAATTAGTCTAAGGTATAAGAAATACTATGACATTAAAGTAAAAAGACAACAGAGGACAGAGAAACTACACATTAGAATTAAAAGAGCCATTGTTACCATTCATGGGCCCTTCAAAAATATCATGAACATGTGCTCGATAAAAATTAGATAACTTAGAGGAACTGGCCCAATACTTTGAGAGAAACAATCTCTTATAACTTACACAAAAGTACAAATACACAAAACAGATGAGCCCATGCCTACTGAAGAAACTGACTCAATAACTTATTACTATCCAAAAGAAAACATAGGGACTCCTAGTGTCACCAGTTGCTGTGTGCACATGGAAGACCGAGCTAGCTCGCAATAAACACCTCTTTGCTGCTTAAAAACAAAAACAAAAACATAGGACTCTGATACATCATACAGGCTTCCAAAAGGCAAATAGGAATAACCACCAAATTTTCTACATTTCTTTTCTACCATGAAGAAGCAGAGAAAACAATTTCCAGTTTCTTCTGAGGCACATGTTACAATATTAACAAAATGAACATGATTAAATAAAGGAGCTATGAATTACTCTCATGGTCATAAAAGCTAAATACCTCCACAAACATTACTTAACTAAATACAAAAATGAATAAAAAGAATCATACAACAATTCCAAGAGAGAATTATTACACCTATGCAAGGTTGATTAAAAATTTAAAAACTAATTAACATCATCCATGACAATAGAAAGCTAAGTAATAAATATCATGGTTATATCAATAGTAAAGAAAAAAGTCGAGAATAATGAAGAAATATATTGAAGGTCAGAAAATCACAAATTTCTCCAGAGAGACACATGAACATTTACTCTATGTGAAATAAATCAAAGAATTATGAACATCAACAAGATGATATCAGGGTTGTAAAGCACAAGGTTGACAAATAGGAAAATTGTTATCCTGACGGCAGCAGCAAGCTGAGCACAGAGGCAATGCCAGGGATCCCTGAACTAGTTGAACTATTTGCAGTGACAAGAGTCAGGAGGATCCCAGCTTTGTGGCCAGCATGGGCTGTTTTACAAGACTGTCTCTAAATAAATAAATAAACAAATAAATAAATAGTACTAAAAATGTAGGTTAATGATAGAGCACCCTTGAGTCCAACACCCAGCACCAGAAAACAAAACAAAATATTAGCACAAACATATACCAGTTATATAGCACACATACACACAAAGAAAGAAAGCAACACTCATATATAAAACTGAAAAAAAATCTGTATGACAAAAAGTGCAAGTTTTTAAGGAGAGAAGAAAAGACCAGGCAAATATGTGGAGATATTTCATGTTCATATGGGAGAAGCTTCAGTGTAATCATCAATTATTATCAATTTTGTTATGAATTCAATAAAATCAAAATAAAATACCTTTTACGTTTCATTTACAGTCATAAAAGACCCATAACAAAAATCACAATAATGAAAAATAATTTCAGAAAATGGACATTATCTGAGGTTGAAACTACTAAAAGGCTACAATCATCAAGACAGTGTGGTATTTGGCACAGTAGAAATATACTCCACTGGTATTTGACGAATAAGCAAAGGAGAAATCACTGCAAAATATACTCTCTAGAAAAGTGTTGGCAAAGCAACTGTACATTAGCATGAAAAGAAATGGAGAATAGTTCCTTCACAAATGTCACAAATTCGGCTCCCAGTAGAGACTCAGTTTACAAATATGACACAGGGCTGGAGCTGCAGCTTTAGCAAAGCACCTGGCTGGCACTTAGGAGGCTGTGGATTCTCTACCTAGCACCAAAATATTGCCTGTACATCCTCCAAA